GTTCTGATCATAAAAGGATGCTGGATATTATAAAAAGCCAATGTGTTGGGAAGTAGTCCTTTTTCTATGCTTTGGAAAAGGTTATGTAACATAGGTACTAGTTCCTCTTTAAAGGTTGGGTAGAATTCTGATGTGAAGCCATCTGGTCCTGGACTCTTCTTTTTTGGGAGATTTCATGTAGTTGATTCTATATATTCTTGATATAGGTCTGTTCAACATTTCTAATTTTTTCTGGGTAAGTCTAGGAAGGTGACATGCTTCCAAGTATTGGTTGGTTTCTTTCAGATTTTCATATTTCTGAGAATAAAGTTTTTTGTAGTACTCATTAACAATTTTTTTTTTAATTTCTGAGGAGTCTGTTGTTCTGTTGTCTTTGTCATTTCTGATTGATGAAATTAGGGATTTTAATTTTCTATTTTTGGTTAGGCTAGCCAAAGGTTATCAATTTTGTTAAACTTTTCAAAAAACCAACTTTTTGATTCATTGATCTTTTGAATAATTCTTTTGTTTTCAATTTCATTTAATTCTGCTCTAATTTTTGTTATTTTTTTTCTTCTGCTGGGTTTGGGGTTGGAATGTTCTTCCTTTTCTAGTTGTGTGAGATGTTCCATTAGGTTACTGACTTTCTCTCTTTCCATTCCCTTGAGGAAGTCTTGCAGCACTATAAATTTCCCTTTTAGGACTGCCTTTGCAGTATCCCCAAGGTTCTGATTATTTGTACCTTCATGATTGTTCTGTTCCAAAAATTTGGTAATTTCCTTCTTCTTTTTTTTTTTTTTTTAAATTATGGAACACTTCATGAATTTGCATGTCATCCTTGCACAGGGGCCATGCTAATCTGCTCTGTATTGTTCCAATTTTAGTATATATACTGCCGAGGCAAGCACTGGTAATTTCCTTCTTAATCTCATCTTCGACCCAGCTATCTTTCAGTATAAGATTATTTAGTTTCCATGACTTTGTATGAGTATGCAGATTCCTGTTATTGGTGAGTTCAACTTTTATTCCATCATAATCTGAGAAAATATAAGGAATCATTCCTATTCTTTTAAATTTGCTGAAGTTAGACTTATAATCTAATATGTGATCAATTTTGGAGGATGTTCCATGGGCTGATGAGAAGAATGTGTATTCAGTTTTGTTAGGACATGTTCTGTAGATGTCTATTAAATTAAATTATTGTATGGTGAAGTTTAAGTCCAAAATTTCTTTGCTTAGTTTCTTATTGGAGGACCTATCCAACACTGCAAAGGGGTGTTAAAATCTCCAATTATTATGGTGCTGGAAAATATCAAATTGTTCATGTCTGTTAGTGTCTCCCTTATAAATTGAGGAAATTGAGGAGCATTTTGGTTGCGTGCATAAATGTTAATAATTGAAATCTCATCATGTTGATTATTTCCCTTAACAAATATGAAGTACCCATCCTCTTGTCTTTCTTTACTTTTGTTAGTTTAAATCCTAATGTATCTGCAAATAAAATTGCCACCCCTGCTTTTTTTCTGTTTTCCATTTGCCTGGATTATAGATGTCTGTTCCTTCACCTTGAGTCTATATTTATCCTTTAAGATAAGATGAGATTCTTGTATGCAGCAGATATTTGACCTGAGTTTTTGTATCCAGTCAGCCAACCTGTGCCTCTTTAGCAGACAATTTAAGCCATTCATGTTAATTGAGAGTATTGATAAGCCTGGTAGTATTTTGGGTGTCAAAATTTTTCAAAAGAGCAGTGAACATTTTTAATCCTTTTGCCACTGTGGAAGTGGGTTTTGATCAAAAATTTCTGAGTGAGTTTACTTTGGTGGTAGAATATTGTGGTGGTCATTATGGAGGATGGGTCTGAGAATATACTGGAGAGCTATTTTAGTCATTGTTCTTTTAAAATTTTAATTTTTGGATGTTTTATACTGTATATAGCAGGTCCATAAAATATTAATCTAGTAGAACATATGTATAACAGTAATTTATTTTATTTTATTTTTTTACTGTTGTGATATATGGTCACAGAGGTTAGGAAATCAGAGGTATAAATGTTTGGGACACTTGTTTAGTCATTTAATAGATGTACATTTGATCATACCTCTAACCCTTACTAGTGACCTTAAGCAAGTTACATAAACTCTCTAAGCCTCAGTGTATTCATCTGTAAAATGGTATTAATTATATAATATCTGCCTCATAAGGTTGCTTGAGGAGTAAGTTGTATAATGGATATAATACACTTAATGGATAACCTACACTAAAAAATGTATGATATTGTCTGACTGGTGAAGGTTGTATGAAGGAGGCATATGGAAGCCTTTGGGATAATAAATTCTAAACTCAAGGACTTTTTTCATTAAAAGACACTGATTAGAGTTTTATTATGGTCTGAGAAACTTCAATTATCATGTATTACTCAAATAAATCTGTCCATAATTTAAAGAACATAGATCACAAAATCATTTTTTCTGAGACTAGCAAACAAGCATATGATGACCTAGGTTGTTTGCAGTGTTCATTTTTGCTCCATAAAAATACTTATTTGCTCAATATAGATAGAAATTAAGTGCCTAAATACATCACTTTAGGAATCCTGAAGGCAATAGGGTTCTTTTCTTATTTTTTAGATTTGAGGTTTGTTGATTTTTTTAAACATTACTGTAAAATTCATCCCATCAGATAGAAAGAATTTTTAATTTTTATAAAGAGGTAAAATAAAACACTTGACAACCACTTACCTATTCAAAAGTTATTGTTCATTAAATTTTGTATATATACACACATATTCACACACATGTTAATAGCAAAAGATCCTTAATAATAAATATTGGAGTCCTGCAATCATCCTGGAAGAAGATATCTATTGATAACTTGATTCAGAATTAGAAGATATAAATTTTTAAAAGTCAACAGCAAAGTTAGCTTTTATTCTCAGGAACATGGTCTTATTCCACAGGAATTAGAAGCCTCATTAATCTGATACAGTAGAGCAGGGTTTTCCTCGTTAAGGCATTTCTGAAGATAAATATACATTTTTGAAGTTTGTGGAATTTTTTTGTTTTCTGTTTTTTTGTTTTTTGTTTAGTTTAGTCTGTGTTAACTCAATGCTCAGTCACTTATTCATGTAAACTTCATAAAACCTGACTAACAAGATGCCTGAACAGTTAGTTATATTATATACTCCTTATGAAATTTTTAAAAAAATAATGAAAAATAAAGGTAGAAAATGGAGCCTGAATACTCATGACAATTGGCTTACCATCTGGTTATCATCTAAGTCCATATGTGATTTTAGCAAAGTTAGGCCTTATATGTATAGTAACATGTAATGAAAAATCAGATGCAAAGAGGAATTCATAAAGGACTCAACATGCTCAACAAAAACATGTTGTGCACTTATCGTGTACAAGACATGGCTGGCTCTGTGCTCATAGCTCACTGGGTAGGGCACTGGCCACATACACCGGGGCTGGCAGGTTTAAACCCGGCCTAGGCCTGCTAAACAACAACAACAACAACAACAACAACAACAACAACAAAATTGCTGGGTGTTGTAGCAGGCACCTATAGTCCAAGCTACTTGGGAGGCTGAGGCAAGAGAATTATTTAAGCCCAGGAGTTTGAGGTTGCTGTGAGCTGTGACACTGTGGCACTCTACCAAGGGTGACATAGTGAGATTCTGTCTCAAGAAAACAAAAACAAAAACAAAACAACAATAACAAAAAGAGTTGAAATTCTAGGAGTGGAGTTTGGATAGATAAAAAGTAATATACAGATGAAAAAGACATGATCTTTTTCCTCAAGGAACTTCCAGTCTGGTGAGGGACATCGAGCTTTACAAGGTAGGCACGGAACACATTAAAGAAACAAACCTGTGGGATACGAGAAAGGAGGCCCTAGTAGAGATACGTGTCAGGTCTGGATTCAAAGTCAGGTTCTCTGACGCCCTGGCCTAGACTAGGTTGCCAGGAAAAGATAGGACACTCAGTGTCATTTGAATTTCAGGTAAATAAATAATTTCTTTTTATTATAAGTATACGCCATTGCATGAGACATACACTAAAAATTAATTTCTTAGTTTTTTAAATCTAAAATTCATATTTAACAGAGCTTCCTTTAGTTTTCTTGAATAAATCTGGGAACCTTATCCTAGACAAGCATGCTGGTTGTTTATAGTTTGTCAAATCTATACACCCTTTATTGCCTTAGTCTGTGTCCCTCCAAGAGGCTGACTGCTGTGATATCTGTTTCCTAGGTTCCTTGCCAGTGGCTTCTTATAGAATTCAGCCCGTGGAAGGCACTGGGAAGAGAGCAGACATGAGGTGAGAGAGGCCAGACTTTCTTTCTTTCCTCTCCCGTGCATCAGTGAAGTATCTCTGGAAGCACAGTTCCTGCCTGACTGTTCCTTCTACGAGGCTGCATCTCCCTTGGATGCTGGCAACAAACGTTTTCCTCCTGTTGCAGTTTCAGCTTTGGAAATAGCATCAACTTCCACTGCTGCTAATCTCTGGGTGCCTTGGCTTCGCTTTTTGTTTTTCTAACGTTGTCCAGACCTCTGTAGGTAGTTTATTATAATCTTCACTTGAAGACTATGATAATAAATCTTCTGAGTTAAACTCTGTTTCCTCCCTGAACCCTAGTTGGTAAAGCAAGTCCTTTTAACTCCTTTGAGCCTCAATCTCTTTATTTTTAAAATAAGGGAAATGGTACCTTCCTTACACATTTTGTGAACAGTTTATATATATGGATGTCATGGGGGTATCAGACATCTGAACTGATATTTAGCTGATATTATATCAACAATTCTTTCTACTTCTGGTATGACTAGTAATGCCTATTAAATCAAATCTTGTACAGATAACCATAAACTTCTGACAAAACATAAAGATCAGCTATCTGCAGGAACTGGATAATGACACACAGCAGGCAGATACTGAAGGAGAGTTAGAACTTTAAGAAAAGAAAAAATACTTCAAGAAGAGAAACAGTGGGACCTGTTTCCTATTTTTATAACTTTTAGACTGAAGGCAGACCCCAGACTGCACCAGTTGAGGAGGCTAAAAGTCCAATAGAGAGAGCTTACAGCCTTCCTGGCTGGAGAAGAATGAGTCCAGGGCAACTGTAACCCCTAGACATTGAGGAATCAGTCCCAGACAGAAGAGGTACAAGTTGGAGAGAGGGTTCTCAGCTCTATCTATAAACTCTTTTTGATTTCTAGCTGGCTCCTGAATTATACCTGTGTGGGGCAGGCACCAGAAGGCTGACTGCAACTAAAAGAATGGTACTGAGATTTAAGTCATTGTTTACTGCTGGTGAGAGAGAGTTTGCAGTATGAGTTCAGTCAAGCTAAGTATCTGTTGAAACAATCACGTTTTTCAGACAAATGTTAACAATCCAGAATTGCTACAAATACGTCATTTACAATGTCCCAAAATATAATCCATGATTACTTAACAAAGAAGCAGGAAACATGAATTTTAAAGAGAAAAGATAATTATCAGAACACCACCTTCCAAAAAATCTAGATGTTGGATTTTTAGGGATTTTTGTTGCATTTTATTGTGTTTATTCCAGTTTTGAAAGGAAGCAAAAGAGACTTCATTTTTCTCTTCATGAGAAAAATTGGAAATGTTGCTTTACAAAAGAGCAAGGCGATGAGGGGGCAATGTTACCGCTAGTTTTAGAGACAATCTGCTTCAGCCATATTGCATCTGTACTAGATTCCGTTAAATAGAGGGACCTCAGAAGAAAGGAAGTGCAGGTGGGTCAGAGGATTTTAGGAGAGGGTAATTAACTGCCTGAATCAAATCCATTCAGCCAGATCAAGGTACTGGCAGTGGAGAGGCCCTCAAAAGAGATTTCCAAATAGCCAATAAAAATGTCCCATGGAAAAAGATGTCCCATT